CTGCGTGTGCGTGCATGTGAATGTATGTGAGTGCGTGCGCGTGCACGTACCGATGGTGGGCAGCACGAGCGCAGTGCGCGGCGTGTGCGTGTGTGTGCACGTACCGATGGAGGGCAGCACGAGCGCAGTGCGCGGCGTGTGCGTGTGTGTGCACGTACCGATGGAGGGCAGCACGAGCGCAGTGCGCGGCGTGTGCGTGTGTGTGCACGTACCGATGGAGGGCAGCACGAGCGCAGTGCGCGGCGTGTGCGTGTGTGTGCACGTACCGATGGAGGGCAGCACGAGCGCAGTGCGCGGCGAGTGCGTGTGTGTGCACGTACCGATGGAGGGCAGCACGAGCGCAGTGCGCGGCGTGTGCGTGTGCGTGTGTGTGCACGTACCGATGGAGGGCAGCACGAGCGCAGTGCGCGGCGTGTGCGTGTGTGTGCACGTACCGATGGAGGGCAGCACGAGCGCAGTGCGCGGCGTGTGCGTGTGTGTGCACGTACCGATGGAGGGCAGCACGAGCGCAGTGCGCGGCGTGTGCGTGTGTGTGCACGTACCGATGGAGGGCAGCACGAGCGCAGTGCGCGGCGAGTGCGTGTGTGTGCACGTACCGATGGAGGGCAGCACGAGCGCAGTGCGCGGCGTGTGCGTGTGCGTGTGTGTGCACGTACCGATGGAGGGCAGCACGAGCGCAGTGCGCGGCGTGTGCGTGTGTGTGCACGTACCGATGGAGGGCAGCACGAGCGCAGTGCGCGGCGTGTGCGTGTGTGTGCACGTACCGATGGAGGGCAGCACGAGCGCAGTGCGCGGCGTGTGCGTGTGTGTGCACGTACCGATGGTGGGCAGCACGAGCGCAGTGCGCGGCGTGTGCGTGTGTGTGCACGTACCGATGGAGGGCAGCACGAGCGCAGTGCGCGGCGTGTGCGTGTGTGTGCACGTACCGATGGAGGGCAGCACGAGCGCAGTGCGCGGCGTGTGCGTGTGCGTGTGTGTGCACGTACCGATGGAGGGCAGCACGAGCGCAGTGCGCGGCGTGTGCGTGTGTGTGCACGTACCGATGGAGGGCAGCACGAGCGCAGTGCGCGGCGTGTGCGTGTGTGTGCACGTACCGATGGAGGGCAGCACGAGCGCAGTGCGCGGCGTGTGCGTGTGTGTGCACGTACCGATGGAGGGCAGCACGAGCGCAGTGCGCGGCGTGTGCGTGTGTGTGCACGTACCGATGGAGGGCAGCACGAGCGCAGTGCGCGGCGTGTGCGTGTGTGTGCACGTACCGATGGAGGGCAGCACGAGCGCAGTGCGCGGCGTGTGCGTGTGTGTGCACGTACCGATGGAGGGCAGCACGAGCGCAGTGCGCGGCGTGTGCGTGTGCGTGTGTGTGCACGTACCGATGGAGGGCAGCACGAGCGCAGTGCGCGGCGTGTGCGTGTGTGTGCACGTACCGATGGAGGGCAGCACGAGCGCAGTGCGCGGCGTGTGCGTGTGTGTGCACGTACCGATGGAGGGCAGCACGAGCGCAGTGCGCGGCGTGTGCGTGTGTGTGCACGTACCGATGGAGGGCAGCACGAGCGCAGTGCGCGGCGTGTGCGTGTGTGTGCACGTACCGATGGTGGGCAGCACGAGCGCAGTGCGCGGCGTGTGCGTGTGTGTGCACGTACCGATGGAGGGCAGCACGAGCGCAGTGCGCGGCGTGTGCGTGTGCGTGTGTGTGCACGTACCGATGGAGGGCAGCACGAGCGCAGTGCGCGGCGTGTGCGTGTGTGTGCACGTACCGATGGAGGGCAGCACGAGCGCAGTGCGCGGCGTGTGCGTGTGTGTGCACGTACCGATGGAGGGCAGCACGAGCGCAGTGCGCGGCGTGTGCGTGTGTGTGCACGTACCGATGGAGGGCAGCACGAGCGCAGTGCGCGGCGTGTGCGTGTGTGTGCACGTACCGATGGTGGGCAGCACGAGCGCAGTGCGCGGCGTGTGCGTGTGTGTGCACGTACCGATGGAGGGCAGCACGAGCGCAGTGCGCGGCGTGTGCGTGTGTGTGCACGTACCGATGGAGGGCAGCAGGAGCGCAGTGCGCGGCGTGTGCGTGTGCGTGTGTGTGCACGTACCGATGGAGGGCAGCACGAGCGCAGTGCGCGGCGTGTGCGTGTGTGTGCACGTACCGATGGAGGGCAGCACGAGCGCAGTGCGCGGCGTGTGCGTGTGTGTGCACGTACCGATGGAGGGCAGCACGAGCGCAGTGCGCGGCGTGTGCGTGTGCGTGTGTGTGCACGTACCGATGGAGGGCAGCACGAGCGCAGTGCGCGGCGTGTGCGTGTGTGTGCACGTACCGATGGAGGGCAGCACGAGCGCAGTGCGCGGCGTGTGCGTGTGTGTGCACGTACCGATGGAGGGCAGCACGAGCGCAGTGCGCGGCGTGTGCGTGTGTGTGCACGTACCGATGGAGGGCAGCACGAGCGCAGTGCGCGGCGTGTGCGTGTGTGTGCACGTACCGATGGTGGGCAGCACGAGCGCAGTGCGCGGCGTGTGCGTGTGTGTGCACGTACCGATGGAGGGCAGCACGAGCGCAGTGCGCGGCGTGTGCGTGTGTGTGCACGTACCGATGGAGGGCAGCACGAGCGCAGTGCGCGGCGTGTGCGTGTGTGTGCACGTACCGATGGAGGGCAGCACGAGCGCAGTGCGCGGCGTGTGCGTGTGTGTGCACGTACCGATGGAGGGCAGCACGAGCGCAGTGCGCGGCGTGTGCGTGTGCGTGTGTGTGCACGTACCGATGGAGGGCAGCACGAGCGCAGTGCGCGGCGTGTGCGTGTGTGTGCACGTACCGATGGAGGGCAGCACGAGCGCAGTGCGCAGCGTGTGCGTGTGTGTGCACGTACCGATGGAGGGCAGCACGAGCGCAGTGCGCGGCGTGTGCGTGTGTGTGCACGTACCGATGGAGGGCAGCACGAGCGCAGTGCGCAGCGTGTGCGTGTGTGTGCACGTACCGATGGAGGGCAGCACGAGCGCAGTGCGCGGCGTGTGCGTGTGTGTGCACGTACCGATGGAGGGCAGCACGAGCGCAGTGCGCGGCGTGTGCGTGTGTGTGCACGTACCGATGGAGGGCAGCACGAGCGCAGTGCGCAGCGTGTGCGTGTGTGTGCACGTACCGATGGAGGGCAGCACGAGCGCAGTGCGCGGCGTGTGCGTGTGTGTGCACGTACCGATGGAGGGCAGCACGAGCGCAGTGCGCGGCGTGTGCGTGTGTGTGCACGTACCGATGGAGGGCAGCACGAGCGCAGTGCGCGGCGTGTGCGTGTGTGTGCACGTACCGATGGAGGGCAGCACGAGCGCAGTGCGCAGCGTGTGCGTGTGTGTGCACGTACCGATGGAGGGCAGCACGAGCGCAGTGCGCGGCGTGTGCGTGTGTGTGCACGTACCGATGGAGGGCAGCACGAGCGCAGTGCGCGGCGTGTGCGTGTGTGTGCACGTACCGATGGAGGGCAGCACGAGCGCAGTGCGCAGCGTGTGCGTGTGTGTGCACGTACCGATGGAGGGCAGCACGAGCGCAGTGCGCGGCGTGTGCGTGTGTGTGCACGTACCGATGGAGGGCAGCACGAGCGCAGTGCGCGGCGTGTGCGTGTGTGTGCACGTACCGATGGAGGGCAGCACGAGCGCAGTGCGCGGCGTGTGCGTGTGCGTGTGCGTGTGTGTGCACGTACCGATGGAGGGCAGCACGAGCGCAGTGCGCGGCGTGTGCGTGTGTGTGCACGTACCGATGGAGGGCAGCACGAGCGCAGTGCGCAGCGTGTGCGTGTGTGTGCACGTACCGATGGAGGGCAGCACGAGCGCAGTGCGCGGCGTGTGCGTGTGTGTGCACGTACCGATGGAGGGCAGCACGAGCGCAGTGCGCGGCGTGTGCGTGTGTGTGCACGTACCGATGGAGGGCAGCACGAGCGCAGTGCGCAGCGTGTGCGTGTGTGTGCACGTACCGATGGAGGGCAGCACGAGCGCAGTGCGCGGCGTGTGCGTGTGCGTGTGTGTGCACGTACCGATGGAGGGCAGCACGAGCGCAGTGCGCGGCGTGTGCGTGTGTGTGCACGTACCGATGGAGGGCAGCACGAGCGCAGTGCGCGGCGTGTGCGTGTGTGTGCACGTACCGATGGAGGGCAGCACGAGCGCAGTGCGCGGCGTGTGCGTGTGCGTGTGTGTGCACGTACCGATGGAGGGCAGCACGAGCGCAGTGCGCGGCGTGTGCGTGTGTGTGCACGTACCGATGGAGGGCAGCACGAGCGCAGTGCGCGGCGTGTGCGTGTGTGTGCACGTACCGATGGAGGGCAGCACGAGCGCAGTGCGCGGCGTGTGCGTGTGTGTGCACGTACCGATGGAGGGCAGCACGAGCGCAGTGCGCGGCGTGTGCGTGTGCGTGTGTGTGCACGTACCGATGGAGGGCAGCACGAGCGCAGTGCGCGGCGTGTGCGTGTGTGTGCACGTACCGATGGAGGGCAGCACGAGCGCAGTGCGCAGCGTGTGCGTGTGTGTGCACGTACCGATGGAGGGCAGCACGAGCGCAGTGCGCGGCGTGTGCGTGTGTGTGCACGTACCGATGGAGGGCAGCACGAGCGCAGTGCGCGGCGTGTGCGTGTGTGTGCACGTACCGATGGAGGGCAGCACGAGCGCAGTGCGCAGCGTGTGCGTGTGTGTGCACGTACCGATGGAGGGCAGCACGAGCGCAGTGCGCGGCGTGTGCGTGTGCGTGTGTGTGCACGTACCGATGGAGGGCAGCACGAGCGCAGTGCGCGGCGTGTGCGTGTGTGTGCACGTACCGATGGAGGGCAGCACGAGCGCAGTGCGCGGCGTGTGCGTGTGTGTGCACGTACCGATGGAGGGCAGCACGAGCGCAGTGCGCGGCGTGTGCGTGTGCGTGTGTGTGCACGTACCGATGGAGGGCAGCACGAGCGCAGTGCGCGGCGTGTGCGTGTGTGTGCACGTACCGATGGAGGGCAGCACGAGCGCAGTGCGCGGCGTGTGCGTGTGTGTGCACGTACCGATGGAGGGCAGCACGAGCGCAGTGCGCGGCGTGTGCGTGTGCGCGAGCGTGTGTGCGTGCGCGGAGCGCGCCGGCGCCAGCGCGTCCTGCCCCGCCTCCACCCGCCCGCTGCGCCTCGACTCTCTGCACACAACCATTGCCACATTACGCCCACGATTTCCTCCCTTACGGTTTAACACATTTATTCCACAAAAAGAATATAATTCACTTATCATGAAGCAAATAACAACACCGTTTTAAGTGTATTCGCATTCTACAAACAATTTTATCAAAAAAAAAAAACGATGAATACATAAACATGGCCGTCATTTACTTATATTAAAATTAGATAATTTTACTTAGTAACCCATATAAGTACAATAGTAATTCACCATTATAGATATTATATTTATCGAAAACAGCACTTAAAATAAGTTAAGACGCTCGCGCAAACCGGATGTATTGTCTATCAGACTGTGAAGTGCGCTAGCACAAGGTCGCGCCACCCCCTAGCCAGCAGTGCCCCCACTGTTGCTCTGCACAAGTACATTCGTTTCCTAACTGTAAAGTCTTTAAACTGTAATAACAAGTTTATCTTAGATACTGAATACATGAACTCATATAAAACAGCAAGTACTTATAAACGAGTATATAGAAATAAATATAATATGCACAATCTTCTTATAATGTTGTAAGTAACAAGAAAAGTAAGTGTACAATTAAATATCGTTTCTTGAAAGCAAGTCTATGATTCCTCCCTACTCCGCTGCATTCATATTTGACCAGCACGAAGTAAGCGTGCAATATTCGCTGGACAAAACGGTGTAGTATCTACATAGTATCTATACGTATGTTTGGGTATAATATAATATATAAACTTAACAATAAAGTAAGTAATTACAGTCAGTCTTACGTCAACAAAAAAAAAAAAAAAAAAAAAAAAAAAAAAAAAAAAAAAAAAAAAGCACATGTAAGGATGAGGGAAATGAAACACTTGAGTCTTACGTCAACACTCAAGTGTTTCATTACTTTATTTGAAACGTTTTACGTATTATCAAGAAATACTCTCAATAGAAATTTAGTCTTCATTGACTAAATTTCTATTGAATCAACATTTTTTTATATTATCAAAAAATATTACATTGTAAGCTTAAGACTAAATATTACACAGCATTTTTTTCCTGATAATTAAATGTTTATTTTAAATGCCTCGTTGGTCTAGTGATTTTAAGCACGATTGCTAATCATGAAGTCCCGAGTTCCAATCCCGGGTCAGATCTAAATCAATTATTGGGTTTCTCTATGAAGTAATTCTCAGTAGCAGTTCGTAGTCAGGAAGTCGGCGTTTCACCCCCGTGCCTCGGAAAGCAAGTAAAACCGTTGATCCTGCGCCTGATTTTTCTCCGATCTTATCTGGTTACAGTCCCACTGGACTATGGGAGTAAGAGAATAGTGCACCTGTGCTTGCGCATACCTTCGTGCACTATAATCCTGGACTGTGCAGATGGCTAGTCTCAGCTAAGACTGATCGCCGTAACTGCAATTTGGTCTAGACGCCATAATTGTTAGAAGTCATACACATACTAACTAAATATTGTAAATGTAAATACACATTATGAATAGAACAGAACGGATAATCAAGCAAAAACAAAAATTAACATGTAAAAAAAATTGTTTTAGTTAACTAAATAAATTATCTTACTTATCACTTCGCCTCATTCTCTCTTGAATATAAACAGCAATGAAATGTTGTTCGAATATCAGAACCAGCCATTGCAGTGCTGAAAAAAGATGAATGTAATTACTTTAGATGCAATAAATAGAAATAAATGTAGCTATATTCAATTTAATATATTTCAAAAAAATTATACAATTAAATGATGATTTTAATTATTTTTTTTATAGAAATAGGGTGACAAACGACCACACAGTCCACCTGATAGTAAATGGTTGCTGTGGCCCATAGACATCTGCATCTATCTTCGTTTGCGAATTAAAATTCAGATGCGTTGTCAGCCTTGAGGACTAAGATGGAATGCCTCTTTTCCAGTAAAATGGGCCTCCGGTTCTCTTCACTCACCATACGAAACACAGCAGCATTAAGCTGCTATTTTACGCTGGTATTCTGTGAGAGCGTGGTCCTTCCCCGGTCGAACCGACCCATTCGTGCTACAACTGTACTACTAACATAGCTGCAGCATGGCTCTCTTGCTATTCAAAAGTAATTGTTTTCTTAATATTTTTTATATTCGTCCTTACCACACTCACAGAACAATACAGAGTAAATCACTGTCTAACACGTGTTGGTGTGAGTGGTGGGTGCAGGTGTGGGTTAGGGTGCAGGTGTGGGTTAGGGTACAGGTGCGGGTAGATGTGGGTACGGGTTAAAGTGAGGGTATAGTGCGAGTGTGGTTGCAGGTGAGTGTGGGGGTGTTGGTGCGGGATCAGGTGCGGGTGCGGGTGCGGGTACACGTACGGTATCGGTCTCGATGCGGTTGCAGATATGGGTTAGGGTAAAAAGGAAGAAAGAAGAAAGAAAATAAACTTTATTGGCGAGGCGTCGGTCGGCAGGCGAGCGGCGAGCTGCACGCCCACCTGCTGGTGTGAGTGCGGGGGCGGGGGCGGGTGTGTGCGCGAGTACCTGCGAGCAACTCTGCGCGCACGAGCGGCGAGGCGTCGGGCGGCAGGCGCGCGGCGAGCTGCACGCCCACCTGCTGGTGTGAGTGCGGGGGCGGGGGCGGGTGTGTGCGCGAGTACCTGCGAGCAACTCTGCGCGCACGAGCGGCGAGGCGTCGGGCGGCAGGCGCGCGGCGAGCTGCACGCCCACCTGCTGGTGTGAGTGCGGGGGCGGGGGCGGGTGTGTGCGCGAGTACCTGCGAGCAACTCTGCGCGCACGAGCGGCGAGGCGTCGGGCGGCAGGCGCGCGGCGAGCTGCACGCCCACCTGCTGGTGTGAGTGCGGGGGCGGGGGCGGGTGTGTGCGCGAGTACCTGCGAGCAACTCTGCGCGCACGAGCGGCGAGGCGTCGGGCGGCAGGCGCGCGGCGAGCTGCACGCCCACCTGCTGGTGTGAGTGCGGGGGCGGGGGCGGGTGTGTGCGCGAGTACCTGCGAGCAACTCTGCGCGCACGAGCGGCGAGGCGTCGGGCGGCAGGCGCGCGGCGAGCTGCACGCCCACCTGCTGGTGTGAGTGCGGGGGCGGGCGCGGGTGTGTGCGCGAGTACCTGCGAGCAACTCTGCGCGCACGAGCGGCGAGGCGTCGGGCGGCAGGCGCGCGGCGAGCTGCACGCCCACCTGCTGGTGTGAGTGCGGGGGCGGGGGCGGGTGTGTGCGCGAGTACCTGCGAGCAACTCTGCGCGCACGAGCGGCGAGGCGTCGGGCGGCAGGCGCGCAGCGAGCTGCACGCCCACCTGCTGGTGTGAGTGCGGGGGCGGGGGCGGGTGTGTGCGCGAGTACCTGCGAGCAACTCTGCGCGCACGAGCGGCGAGGCGTCGGGCGGCAGGCGCGCGGCGAGCTGCACGCCCACCTGCTGGTGTGAGTGCGGGGGCGGGGGCGGGTGTGTGCGCGAGTACCTGCGAGCAACTCTGCGCGCACGAGCGGCGAGGCGTCGGGCGGCAGGCGCGCGGCGAGCTGCACGCCCACCTGCTGGTGTGAGTGCGGGGGCGGGGGCGGGTGTGTGCGCGAGTACCTGCGAGCAACTCTGCGCGCACGAGCGGCGAGGCGTCGGGCGGCAGGCGCGCGGCGAGCTGCACGCCCACCTGCTGGTGTGAGTGCGGGGGCGGGGGCGGGTGTGTGCGCGAGTACCTGCGAGCAACTCTGCGCGCACGAGCGGCGAGGCGTCGGGCGGCAGGCGCGCGGCGAGCTGCACGCCCACCTGCTGGTGTGAGTGCGGGGGCGGGGGCGGGTGTGTGCGCGAGTACCTGCGAGCAACTCTGCGCGCACGAGCGGCGAGGCGTCGGGCGGCAGGCGCGCGGCGAGCTGCACGCCCACCTGCTGGTGTGAGTGCGGGGGCGGGGGCGGGTGTGTGCGCGAGTACCTGCGAGCAACTCTGCGCGCACGAGCGGCGAGGCGTCGGGCGGCAGGCGCGCAGCGAGCTGCACGCCCACCTGCTGGTGTGAGTGCGGGGGCGGGGGCGGGTGTGTGCGCGAGTACCTGCGAGCAACTCTGCGCGCACGAGCGGCGAGGCGTCGGGCGGCAGGCGCGCGGCGAGCTGCACGCCCACCTGCTGGTGTGAGTGCGGGGGCGGGGGCGGGTGTGTGCGCGAGTACCTGCGAGCAACTCTGCGCGCACGAGCGGCGAGGCGTCGGGCGGCAGGCGCGCGGCGAGCTGCACGCCCACCTGCTGGTGTGAGTGCGGGGGCGGGGGCGGGTGTGTGCGCGAGTACCTGCGAGCAACTCTGCGCGCACGAGCGGCGAGGCGTCGGGCGGCAGGCGCGCGGCGAGCTGCACGCCCACCTGCTGGTGTGAGTGCGGGGGCGGGGGCGGGTGTGTGCGCGAGTACCTGCGAGCAACTCTGCGCGCACGAGCGGCGAGGCGTCGGGCGGCAGGCGCGCGGCGAGCTGCACGCCCACCTGCTGGTGTGAGTGCGGGGGCGGGGGCGGGTGTGTGCGCGAGTACCTGCGAGCAACTCTGCGCGCACGAGCGGCGAGGCGTCGGGCGGCAGGCGCGCGGCGAGCTGCACGCCCACCTGCTGGTGTGAGTGCGGGGGCGGGGGCGGGTGTGTGCGCGAGTACCTGCGAGCAACTCTGCGCGCACGAGCGGCGAGGCGTCGGGCGGCAGGCGCGCGGCGAGCTGCACGCCCACCTGCTGGTGTGAGTGCGGGGGCGGGGGCGGGTGTGTGCGCGAGTACCTGCGAGCAACTCTGCGCGCACGAGCGGCGAGGCGTCGGGCGGCAGGCGCGCGGCGAGCTGCACGCCCACCTGCTGGTGTGAGTGCGGGGGCGGGGGCGGGTGTGTGCGCGAGTACCTGCGAGCAACTCTGCGCGCACGAGCGGCGAGGCGTCGGGCGGCAGGCGCGCGGCGAGCTGCACGCCCACCTGCTGGTCGAGCGCGTTGGCATGCTCGGTACGCGCGCCGCATCCGCCCGCCGCTACGAACGTGCCCAGCGCGAACGCGCAGGCCGCACGCACCTGTGCACACGCACGCACACACTCCACACGGATTCACAATTCTTTTTTTGTAATTTATGTAAATAAGCTGACAATAACAGAGACAGTAACTTAATGGCAAGGTACGAACCGCGAACTCTTAAAGGTCGTGGGTTCTAATTCGCCATTCAATTACTGTCGGGAACCACTCCTTACAAAAGCATTTTAAGCATACCAGGAATATCATTGTGAATATCATTGCTAGTATTTAAAAAAAATTGCCGCACGATACAAGAGATAATCCTAGTCTATGAGTAACATTCTTAAAAAGAAAAACTCTTAACATAAGGCAAGTGGAGATACTATTCGCGAATAAAATAAAATAGAAAAAAATACAGATACGTTATTTCCCCTGAGGTCTTTATATGAAAGCCAATTGGTTATCGTAACAATATTCACATTATACAAGTAATACGTAATTATGTGTTGCATCACATTGCATGAGAATGTTCCCGAGGGCATGAGAACAGCAACGCTTAAAATAATACAAGTAAGCCGCAACCTTACGTGTTGCAGGTGGAGCAGGTGGAGCAGGTGGAGCAGGTGTAGTGCAGTTGTTGCGGGTGGTGCACGCGCTCACCTCGGGCTGGTGGTGATGCAGCAGCGCGGCCAGCTTCTCGTGCGCCAGGTCGCGCACGCCGGCCCAGCGCGCGGCGTCGTAGCCGCGCCACAGCCGACCCAGCCCCACGCACGCCCACTGCCGCAGCGGCGGCCACGGGTCGCTCAGCTGCTCCAGGCACAGCGAGATCATCGACCCCTGCAGTATGCAGTACACGCTCAACATTCAATACTATACGAGGACTTGCTGACGTGCTTATTCTAAAATCCATAATGTAAGTTTTTACCACAGAATACAAAAAACAAGAGGAAGTAGCAAAACGCATAATTAGTACCACTGTCGCCAACCACACATTCGCAATAAAGAAATAAGTACCGACAATTTCAATAATTTTCACGTGATTGTCTATTAAAAAATAAAAGAGAAAGGCGACAGTTTCTTTTTGTATAGAGAATGGGCCCACCACAAACTTTAGCTACCCTTAATAAAATGCATGTTGCTTTATATTTCTTATAATCTATAGATTACAATAGTAATATTAGTTTTATGGAATCTAAACAGAGTACTGAGAAATTGGCAAATAAAATATGAATCTTACTATAACCCTAAAAACAAAATAAAAGCGCTATTCTATTAATTTTGTACCGGTGTTATAAGTTAAAATAGTGCACTGTTCAATAATTAATAGTATAAAAACAAAGTTGTAGTTACATTCAGCATTTACAGGTACTTTAAGATCGATGGAAAATCCATTTATAGTTGTTACGGCCCCCAGCTGCGCCGGCAAAGGTCGCCTTGGCTAGGGCACATAGTAGCCTCCTCGACGAGCAGCCGAGGGTTCGGGCCCAATGGCCTATAGATTATTATTAATAGCTGATTAGCAAACACAACTTACCGAGTTCCGGAGGTAGGGTTGACCCTAGGGTATCAGTCAGGTGGTAAGAAGGGTGGCCAAGGTTTTGGTTGGAGATTCGGTCTTGCAACGTGCCGTCGCGGCCCTATCCCGTTTGCCAATTTACTTACGGACATAAATCCTTATGTCCGGGACGGGGGTTTGTTTAGGCCAAATAATTAACACTGTAAAAATTTGCATTCATGACGCGCGCTCTACTCGTGCATCCGATGTTACCAAGGTCACCGCCGCCCCCCCGCTCCCGTTCGCATTCCATTCGAGGCCGCGGCTGCCGATTAGTATGGAAAAAAAGTTGTAGCGCGACGGTCGGTCGCGTGCCTCCTACGGTGTTATTTTAATTTGTTTTTCGTGATAACGAGGCTGGTCTTAAAGTATGACGGTTACGTGCTAAGCGCTCGGCCGCGTGACAAACGCCTCTTATTGATTGTCTTTCGTGCTTTAAGTGACAAGAGGCCCTTTTGAGTTTTGAAACCCTAAGAATGTGTGACCCGAGAGGAGATCGCTTTATGTTGGATATAGATTAATTGCGCGCGTACACCGGGGCGAGTAGAAGTATGAAAAGAAATTGTGGCGCGACGGTCGGTCGCGTGCCTCCTACGGCGTTATCTTAATTTATGTTTCGTGATAACGAGGCTGATCTTATATAATTATTGTTGTAACCGTTTTGAGTATTGTTTGCCACCGTTGGTAGGTCGGGCGCGGCTAGTGTCCATAATTGTACGCGTCGTTTTTGAATTAACTATTGAATATTTGGGTCCGGTTAAGACCGCCTCGAATTGAGTGTCTCTTTTGAGTGTTACGTGACAAGAAACCTAATTTGAGTTTTGAGTGATTAAATTAACTGATTGCCAATAATTGTTGCGCGACGGACGGTATGGAAAAAACGTTGTTGCGCGACGGTCGGGCGCGTGCCTCCTATGGAGTTGTTTTAATTTGTACGTTTCGTTATAACGAGGCTTGTCTTAAAGTGTGGAAAAGATTTTGTCGCGCGGCGGCCGGTTAATTGCTTTTGGAAGTTAATATTGAATTAATTTGGCTTTGACGGGAGAACTCTGAACTTTGTGACTCGAGAAGAGACCGCGTTCGTTCCCGTGTTTGTAATTTTGTGCTAAGTGAATCCGGAACATTGATTATTGAACTTTGACCGACTGTTCTTTACCTGTGTAGTGTGTCACTTGGTTTAATTTCGATGAACTATGATTTCGTTGACTTTGAAGTTAATTAAATGTACAATAAAGTTGATAAACTAATATAGTGAAAATAAAAGCAGAAGTTTTCAATTTGTGAACGCCCCCCTGGATGGATCTCACATTTGGAGAGAAGCAGCGCCTTTGGATCTGCAGTCCGACTTCAGCGGGGATGTCAGGTTACACATTGTACACACTACTACACACTACTGACATGCACATCACTTACCACCTGACTGGTACCCTGTGGTCAACCTTACCTCCGGAAATCGGAAAGTTGTGCTTGCTTATTTGTCAGCCGTTTTAGAACATTTATCCATAGGCTATTTGGGCCCCTCCCTTGGTTGCCCGTCGCGACTACCACTCATGGGCCCTGGTACGGTAGACCTTTGTCGGGGCAACTAAGTGCGTGAACACACGCTATATAGTAAGAAAGATGTTTTAAACTGGTAAGGATAAAAACACAAATTATGATGCATCTACATTTATAAAAGTAAACATAATTTCCAAATTAGTCTATTAAAAGTAGAACAGATAGACCGGCACGGTGTGAAAACTTTGTTTGAAAATATATTAACTGATTAGTTATCATACCTCAAACACCATGAAAGCCAAAATGACTAAGTAATGTAATTTTTATCAGTTATTACACACTGATAAATAGTGAGAAAGTAAGATGTTTTAAACTGTTTATGGAAGGATAATAAAACACATGTATAATTTAATTGTATTTGTTATTATTAATCATCATTTCAAAATATTTTTTCTAAATAACTTGATGATAACATGTCCATTTATGATATTGGTACGAATCAGAAGGACATTTTCAATGATAAAGAGATCTATACAAATAAATAAAATTTAAGTGTCTGTTTGTAATGTCAAAATAACAGCTTTTTACTGATTGCATATAAAAGTATATACGATACCTATTACAAAAACACAATTTTTAAAATTTTTGTCTGTCTGTCTGTCTGTCTGTTTGTTCCGGCTAATCTTCGAAACGGCTGGACCGATTTTGACGCACATTTGCCCGTACGCATCGTCCGCACCGTACGCAAATCTTTTGGATTACCAACAACTCTTGTAGTTTTTTCCAACCACTGGTGTGAAACGGTACATTGAAATTGATCGCTTGAAATCACTATGGAAAGAAATATAGTAATAGCCTGCTTATTGGCAGAGGAAGGAAAAAAAAATTCGAAGAAAAAGAAGATTCTGGATTCATAATATTAATTTCAAAAGGCAATTGTATGGAGAATATGAAGGGGATATTTAAAAGACTTATTAGATGATGATGAACGATTTTTTAGATATTCGCATTTAACATACATGAAACTTCAAGAATTGCTACATGTACTAAAACTATATCTTTCTATGGAAAACTCAAGATATAGAAGGACAATTGAACCAGAGAAAAGACTTGTTGTATGTTTGAGGTAAGTATTTTTATTGATAATTAATTAATCAAGTATAATTGGGTTTTTGAATTAAATTTAACCATTTTTTTTTAGTTCAGTATTTAAATAATTTATCACTAAGTATTTATATTGATCATCGATGTAAAAAAAATCAAATTATGTATAATTAATTACGAATTTAAAGTTATAAAAATTCAAAGTTATAAAAATACAAAAATTATCACGTAAGTCGAAACCACCAGTTATAGTGGAAAATCCACTAAGTTGGCAACATTAGACAACACTGAGTATCAGCACGCGCCTCGTTATATGACGTCATCGGCATTCGTTCCTCGAAATCGTATGCCTACCGCATTTTATAAAATTCGACGAGTACGGTGCGGGTGTAATGTGCGAGGTTTCATATGATTTCATACAACGAATTCTAAAATTCGGCGCGTACGGCGCGGATAAATGTGCGTTCAGCTTAATAGAGACTGACAAAAGAGTGACTTATCAGCAGACTGGGACAAGCTTAGGCATCGGTATGAGTCAAGTGCACAAAATCCTCCATGAAGATATAACGGTCAGGAAGCTTTGTACCCAGTGGATACCTCACAATTTGACAGAGGCCCAAAAACTCCGTCGTGTTGATTGGTGTCGTGAAATGGTTCAAAGATTTAATGGAGATGATTCAAATGATGTGTTCAACATACTTACGGGTGACAAACTGGATTTATTGTAATGATCCTTAAACTAAGAGACAGTCTGCTGTCTCGGTGTTTCCTTCCGAGCAGTTGCCAACTAAAGTGAAGAGGTCGAAGCGTAGGAAAAAAGACGGTGACGGCGTTCTTCGGAAGGACAAGTCATTACGCAATAATTGTTTTAGAGGATCAAAAACAGTTACTACAGAGTGGTACACTAATAATTGTTTGCCACTTGTCTTGGAAAAAGTTCGGGAGAAACGATCTCGCAGTAGGATCCTCCTTCAACACGACAACGCTTCGTCGCACACTGCCAAACAAACAAACGAATACTTGGCGACGTCAGACGTGAAATTACTGGGTCACCCGTCCTATAGCCCCAACCTCGCACCTTGCGATTTTTATTTATTTCCAAAAATAAAAGAAAAACTTGGAAAAGGTTTTATGGACGCCGAGAAAGCCGTGGCTGCGTTTCAAAATGCCATCGAAGAGAGATTGGGCAAAGTGCTTTTCTCAGTGGTTCCATCGGATGCAGCGATGTATTGATGTAAGTGGACACTATTTTGAAAAGATATAATAAAACTAATAGCTTGCTAGTTTGTTCAGTTTTTGATTGTCTAAGAACTTTCAGTGTCACCCTCGTATGTATGGCCGAATACTATTAATTACTACAATACTACCCTAAATAAACAACTTGTAGAAGTTTGAATTCAAATTCAATAAATATTAAAAATCTCTATTATAGCGTTCTCGTAAAGCAAAAAATCTCTACACCAATGCATGTAATATAAATAAAAAAAGAAATGGGAACATTCAAACTATAATTAAACATTATTAAAATTGTTATCATATGAAAAGCCAGTTGCCAAATGTTTGCTTAGAATTCACTTTATTTATTTATTTAATACTTTTATTTCATTCTAAATTAAACCTTAATCACTTGATATAAGAGTGTTTTCATTGTGACGTATCATTTTTTTTAATATTAAGACATACCTGTAAAGCTGCCTCCTGCCCCGCTGGATAGTTGTCAACGATCCCGGCCAGAACAAATGCCGCAAGCGTCCTGTGCTCACTCTGTCCACAGAGAAAAGGAAATCGATTTATTTAACTAAACACTTTCAATTACAAAATGTTCCGTTTATTAAAAACTCACATCTATTGAAGGATCTTGAAGTATTGATAGAAAATATTTGTGCCCCTTCGCATTTACCAGATCCACTTGACAACTCTGTAAAAGAAAATTATAATAAAGACTCCTGCAAAAGAAAAAGTAAATAGATGTCCTCTTCACCTTCTACATGGACTCGACAAAACCTTTTATTATTTATTTGTTTTAGAATAAAGGTGACTAGTGAGCAATCAGTCCAGCTGATGATCCCATTAGTCGCATTTTATGGAATACCAGGCATGGAACACAATTGGCACACATTTTTTTTTCTAACAGCCCCACATAAACACGGGGTCTATAAATTCTAGACCAATATGGATTAGAATACAATTTTTTCCCATGTAAAATACGCACTTTACCTGAAAGAAGGAAGATGATTCAGGAAGATGCTACCGCCCATCTCCTGTTTCAGTTTCTCTCTGTCGCCTCTTACGAGACCCAAGGGACGATATGGGGTAGTGGATATTCTTACACTGCCACTACATGGTTAGATTATTTTTTATAGCATAAGGGTGACAAACGAGCACACAGTTCACCTGATGGTAAGTGGTTGCTGCGACCCATAGACATCTACATCTATCCTTGTATGCGAATCAAAATGCAGATGCGTTGTCACCCGTGAGGACTAAGATGGAATGTCTTATTTTCAGTAAAAAGGGTATCCGGTTCTCTACACTCACCATACGAAACACAGCAGCGTTAAGCTGTTACTTTACGGTGGTATTCTGTGAGAGAGTGGTCTTTCCCCGGTCGAGCCGACCCATTCGTGCTACAACTATACTATTAATATATGTAGCTACGGCTCTACCACGTTAAAGATGACACACATGCTCAATTAAAATAGAACTCACCGGATCAACAGCAATGATCTTCGCCCATATGTACACCATGGAAGCCCTCAAGTCGTGAGCAGACGCCTGTAGAAGCTTTAGCATGTAAGGGAAGATGCCCACAGCGAGGACAGCCTTCACAGCCCAAGGTCCCAAGGCCAAGAATTTGCAAAGTATCTGCAGCGCCCTTACGCGGTGAAGAGTACTCAACAGTACTTGCAGCACCATTGGCAGCTGGTCCGGTGGTGGCCTTGAAGCTGACCCTGTAATATAAAACATATACATGTACTGTATATATACATACATGGCTGACAAGTTGACCTAGTTCGTAAATGCGGCTGATATTGTGTGCTTGGGTTCGAATCACGTGTGGATCAAAAAATTATTTATTGGATTTTTCCAGCCAGGAAATTCGCAATAGTAGGCCAGAATCGGTATGTGATGTAAAGCAACAAGTTGGCGGTGTTTCACCCCCGTGCCTCGGTAAGCACCCAAAGCACTTGATGATATTTTGTCTGATTATTTACATCGTGACAAATTGTTCTTTAAAAACTATACATAGTCACAACGCTAGAGAGACGGGTTGGAAAAAAAACATCACAGTTCATAAAATCCAGAATGTTTAATGCAACAAGAGTTGTCAAGTCTATTTACCATTCCATAGTAGAATTTGCATTCGCATTACCAGAAGCTGTTCTCCCTTGTTGGTTTGATTTTTTTTTACACAATATTGGGTTATATTGCAATGACATGGTTATACATCTCTTGGAAATTATAAAATTTTTCGGCATTTCGCTTATATAAGATCGACTTACAATGGCCTCGCCGAGTTTCGTGGACGACTACGATACGTATAGATATTCGTCTGTATTCATTCAACGTCGATGTATTAAACATGGATGAAGTGCGTCTTGTTGCTATAATTTTATCTATCTACTTAATATTTATAGACTCACAAATATTTATTTAAAACCAATTTCTAAGATCCCATATCAGGGGTACTCTTTGATAAAGTTCTATGAACTTAATACTCCAATCCGGAGCAGTAGGTAGGTATTTTTATTATTTACTATTATGTGTGTGAGTATAGATATTATATTATCTTTTTTATACTATTTTAGAAGAAAAATAATAACCACCTGCAACAAAGTTCACAGGTCAAGCGAATAATAACAAGCATTCCTTTGACTCGTGCTAAAAAACCGACATCTGAAGCTTAATTGGCGATAGATGCATTGAATGACGATTTAGATAAAATTAGTCGTTGGTCCAGATCCCATGGTTTAACTATAAATCCAAGTAGGTCTCAATCGTTAATAACTTAATAGTAAGTAGCAGATACACTAGTAGTGTTATTGATAAATGCACTCTGCCAGATGTGAGTACGTACACTTGCCCAGGTCGAGCCACACTTGGAAGGCGGTGAGCTGGTCGCGGAAGAAGGGCGAGTGGCGGTAGGCGGGCGGGTCCGCGGCCAGCAGCGCGGGCAGCTGCGCCAGCGCCAGGTCCAGCGTGTGCTCCCAGCCCGCCCACAGCGGGTGCGTCGCCAGCGACGGCAGCGCCGGGCTCGACACCGGCGTGCAGTTGTACGACCTGCGCACAACACCCCCTCCACCGCTTAGCCTTTTACACTACACTCAACAGACGGACATTATATGAACTTTACCATGAAAGAACATATAATCTTTTCGATACTTTTAGAAAAATTGTCAAAAATTATTGTAAAATGTTTAAAAGAGTCTGCTCCACAACCAAAATCTTTACATATTAGCAACAAAATTAAGACTGCTAAAAATAAAATCAAAATGACGTGGAGTATAATTAATAGCGAAATCGGTAAAGACACCTCGTAACACAAACTATCAATTGAAAATTAATAATGAATTGACTAGATCAAATCAAAACGTCCCAGAGGTGTTTGAGAAATATTTCACTGATATTCCTATTTTGACAACAGAGTCATTGAATACTTCTCCGACTGTCGTCGAGTCATTACTCAAACAGAATGTTAATACTTGTTTAAAAGAATTTAGATTTGAAAAAGTATTAACACAAGATATTGTAAAATATTTCAATACCCTTGATGTAAAGAAAACTGCAGACTTATATACCACATTAACTTTGACAAAAAATTACTTTGCGTACACCGCTAGATAAAATAAAATGATGTGTCTTACCTAGATTGAAGAGCACCTCCTGCCTTCCCTCAATTGCGTGCACTATCCCCGTTACCACTAATCCCAGCACCACTACTCCCAACACCACTACACTAAGAAACACACACCACTGACGACAATACGTCACGTGTTTCGCCGCCATTCGAAACACTATCCGGAAGAATTTGGTGAGCACCGAACGGATATCGTCGGACCACTAATACTGTTCCTCATCACTAATCTATAAAATTTAAGGACAATTTCATATTTTTCGTGATCGATCACCAAAAGTTACGAACGATGACGATCGACCAGTCCACCTGTTGGTAAATGGTTGCTGCGGCACATACACATCTACAACTATCCTCGATGACGAATCAAAATGCAGATGCGACGTCACCCGTGAGGACTAAGAAGGAATGCCTCATTTTCAGTAAAAAGGGTCTCCAGTTCTCTTTACTCACCATACGAAACACAGCAGGGTTACGCTGCTATCTTACGCTAGTATTCTGTGAGAACGTGTTCCTTCCCCGGTCGAGCCGATCCATTCGTGCCACAACTATACCACTAATATAGCTGCAGCATGGCTCTACCACGTAAAAAACATATTTAATGATTTCTTTCAAGTACAAATGTTATAAATGTACCCAAAATTTATAAAAATAATTTTGTGGATTTTTTAATTTTTTTTTTAAATAAGAATTTAAAAACCCATTCTGAAATTAGTCTCCAGTGCTCTGCAGCACCCATGAGTAATGGGAAAACTTTCATGTTGCAACAGCCCAATGTTTTAGTTCATGCTGATTAACTATAACTTTTAAAAAAAAATTTGACCAATCTATGCAGAATGAATTTGAATAACTTGAAGTCTTACAGTGTTATGTTATAATTTTCATTTCGAGTTTCTAAAACGCTTAAAAAGGTATATAATGATCATAATCCTAATCATAATTACTGTCTATCACAAGTCTACTGCTGAACATAGGAATCCCCTAAGGAATGGCATAAACAAAGCACAGTCCTGAACCACCTGCATCCATCGACTCTTGCATGTCTGATTAGGTTGTCACGCCATCTAGTGGGGGGCCATCCTACACTTCGTCTACCGGCACGAGGTTACCACTCGAGAATCTTTCCCATATCGGTTTTTTTATGGGAGAGGAGGCAAACGAGCATCCGGCTTACCCAATGGTAAGTGACTACCGCCGCCGATGAACAACTGCAACACCAGGGGAATTGCAGATGCATTGTCGGTGTCGGTTTTTTAGGCTATACGGCGGTCCTACTGCCACTTCAGCCGACTTATTCGTAATAATGATGTAGAATTTCAAACCTCATAATCCTATCAGCCAGCAAGAAGTTCCGACACAGACTCGCAGTGAGGAGATCAGCGCGAAACAGCTGCTGGAACAACTCCGAAGGCAGCGAGCTCCACGCGATTGTGTCAGTGATCGCTGTGAAAATCCAGTTCAGTTCGCCGAGCATCGTGCGTCGATCGGTCACCTGGCCAGGTATTCTGCAGAATGAAAACAATGTGATGCCAATGACAATATTAAGTTGAAAATGTGAGTGTGTGTCTGTGCGTGTAGGTACGTGTGTGCACGTGTGTGCGTGTGTGTGTGCACTGACTTGTCGATGAGGTCGACGAGGTCGTGGCGCGCGACACGCACGCGGCTGCGCAGCACGAACCACTTCATGGCCATCTTGACGGGCGTGGTGAGGCACGCCGTGAACAGGTCCGCCGGCAGCTCGGGGCTCATGGGCAGGCTCTGGCCCGCCGCGCACGCCGCCAGCTGGATGCAGTTCTTGTACGACACCGCGCCGCCCTCGCCCCCGCCACCCCCGCCACCCCCACCAGCGCTCGCCTGCATCTGTACAACAAACATTCATATACTTAACATGAAAGAAAGAAAGAAAAATCATGCATAAGTGTCGTGGAACACTCGGTTGGATCGAAGTTCCTTTCTAAATATATTATTATTGATAAACGTATTATATTATGGATTAACAAATATAAATTAATTAATTATTAGCGTCTATTAAAATGAAGCGTCATTTAAAATAAAATACACTATGACACAAGGGATAGTGACGAAAAAATCTTACACTTTTCTTCGACTAGCTCCCATCCACGAAACCCGTACCGTCCGATAAGGAACTTCGTTCCAATACGTTTATTTGGCACACTGAATATCACAAAGAAAAACAAGCAAGACTGAAAAACAATAAACTTCATCTTTACAAAAAATATAATTTAAAATAAGATACTACTTTTACATGGAAGAGCCACGCTGAAGCACTAATGGGTCGGCTCGGCCAAGATAGGAACTCGCTCTCACAGAATAGGGTAATAACTTTCAAATATAACAGTTTAATGATGCCGCTTTTCATATGGTCCATCCTAGTCCTCAGAGATTACAACACATCTGCATTTTAATTCATAATCGAGGATAAATATAGTACAGTATCCACTTTAAAAAAATATATAGAGGAATAACTTGATATACGCCATAACGATCTCAAATTAACTTTAGGTTACAGATTATAGCTAGACAGCAAGTTCGTAACACTGATTTTCAGTGGAGCCAGGAGAGTTTGGCGACTGACAAACGATAGCAAAATATATATAAATTTCGATGGGCGGAGGCAGTCGAAACCAAAGGCTAACAACCTTAGTTTCTCAAAGGCATCTTTTCTAAAAGATCGGCGACCAACACGACCGGAGAGAGATCAGGCAAAGACCTACGGCTTTACATTTTTTTTAAAGGATAGGGTGACAAACTAGCACACAGTCCACCTGATGGTAAGTGATTGATGCGGCTCATAGACATCTACATCTATCCTCGTTTGAGAATCAAAATGCAGATGCGTTGTCACCCGTGAGGACTAAAATGGAATGCCTCTTTTCCAATAAAAAGGGTCTCCGGTTCTATACACTCACCATACGAAACACAGCAATTTTAAGTTGCTATTTTACGCTGGTATTCTGTAAGAGCGTGGTCCTTCCCCGGTCGAGCCGACCCATTCGTGCTAAAACTATACTACTAATATAGCTGCAGCATGGCTCTACCATCTTACATGCTTTCCAAGGCACGGGGTAACGCCGTGAATACACCGGCCTCCGGATGTTACTGAGAATTTCTTGACTGAATTTGTCCCGACCTGGGATATGAACCCAGGACCTTATGATCAACAACCGCGTTAACGACAATTAGATCAACGAAACAGTCATAAAAACCCTTTGTTAAATATATATAATATATATTTATATACTATAAATCGTAGACAGTTAACAAGTATCGTAAACAGAGACGTCGGGAATTAAAAAAAAATTAAACGCGATAAAATCCGTAAACTTAGTTTTATTCCAAATATATAAATGTCAAAATAATATGATACAAGAAAATCGTCTAACATGGAACCATGACGCAAAAATCCAAATATCCAGATTTTTGTATTCACCACTTTAGACGGTAGGTTCTTGTGTCAGTCATAATATTGATTGTGGCAAAATTGACAACAAAACATATTGTCTAACTCTAATGATTACGATAGTGAGAATAATATGTCTAATGATGATGATAATAAATGATAATACTCGTATATATCAGAATGTCTGTCAGGGTAGGTATCATCACATTACTTTCCATTTTCTGTCATCTTCATTCTTTTTTTAAATGTTACCTCCACTCTAGCAGTTTTTTCCTGTATCGTGGAGGCAGTTTACATATTATTATATTTTTTAAATTATTTATTTAAACTTTTATGCACAAAAGCAAAATCGTACATATTATGGCGGACTTAACGCTTTATTTAAGGCATTCTCTCCCAGTCAACCATTAGGCTAAGCAGAGATAAACATATGGGAGAATGTGCAGCAAAAGTAAACTAATAATGAGAAAAAAAAAGGTAACGAAGTTGGAATAAATCAGAATATATATATGCCATGATAAATAAGGAAAATATGTGACGATAGAAACATTCTTTAGGAAAAAGCGTTAATTCACACTTACAATGCTTTACTAAAATGTTCACGAACTTTGTTTTTAAAAAGAAACTTGTTGGAAGCTTTTTTTAATGTCAAGAGGTATTTCGTTCCAGTCTTATAGGGTAAAGCTGAACGCACATTTGTCCGCACCATACGCGTCGTACGCACCGAACGCGCCGAGCTTTACTGATGGCCTCGCACATTTGCACGTTCGCACCGTCCGCGTCGTAAGCAAATCTTTTGTATTACCAACAATTTTTGTGGTTTTTCCAACCGCTGGTGTGAAACGGTATGGTGAAATTGTCTGCTTATTGGCAGGTGAAGAAGAAAATAAAATTCGAAGAAAAAGAAGATTCTGGATTCATAATATTAATTTAAAAAGGCAATTGTATGGAGAATATTATACTTTATTTAAAGACTTATTAGATGATGGTGAACGATTTTTTAGATATTTGCATTTAACATACAAGACACTTCAAGAATTGCTATATATACTAAAACCATATTATCTTTCTATGGAAAACTCAAGATTTAGAAGAACAATTGAACCAGAGGAAAGACTTGTATGTTTGAGGTAAGTATTTTTATTGATAATTAAGTAATCAGGTATAATTGGGTTTTTGAATTAAAATTAACTTTTTTTAGTTCAGTATTTAAATAATTTATCACTATATATTCATATTGATAATCCATGCAAAAATAATTCAAATTATGTATAATTAATTACGAATTAATTAAGTTATAAAAATACAAAAAATATCACGTAAGTCTAAACCACCAGTAATAGTGGAAAATCCGCAAGTTGGCAACATTAGACAATACTGAGTATGAGCACGCGCCGAACGCGCCGCGTTATATGACGTCCTCAGCATGCGTCCTTCAATATTCGGTTACCTACCGCATTTTATAAAAGTCGGCGCGTACGGTGCGGGTGTAATGTTCGAGGTTTCATATGATTTCATACAACGAATTCTAAAATTCGGCGCGTATGGTGCAGACAAATGTGTGTTCAGCTTTAGAGCGAAAGTGTGGGACAATTATTTTTTTGATGTAAAGAGTTTATTTTCTTTTTAATAACTTGTATTTTATTTTATATCATGTTACCGAGAAGTTAAATTGTATTAATGATAAAAAGTTACAGCCTATATACGTCCCACTGCTGGGCACAGGCCTCCTCTCATTTCTGAGAGGGTTTAGGGCAAGGAAGTGTCCGACGCGTTACCCCAATGCGTTGGCGAACTTCACATGTCTTCGAAATATATTTTCTTTTTATTTCTCAGACATGCAGGTTTCCTCACGATGTTTTCCTTCGCCGCCGAGCACGTGGTAAATCAGCACTTAAAATTGCAATTAACAATTTCATTGGTGCCGGCGGGGATCGAACCAGGGTTGCTCGCGTACTGTGTAAATTTACAGCGAGCGCTAACCATCTGAGCTACCACGGCAATGATAGTCAAGAGTAAAAGTTTCGTTTCGTAAATATTATATCGATTGCTTTAATTGTAAGCTAGAAGCAAATAGAGCAGTTTGGGCGACAAGGGTAAGCAACCAAATACAGGTAGAATTATTTAACAACTTCAAAAGAGGAGGACATGAGATGATTTTTTGTCCAGTAGTGTAAAGGCGATAGCAACTTTAGATTATCCGAATAAAGTAGAAATCAATTATGAGCATCTTCTAGGTACTAAAATTTAGATTATAAGTACTCAGGAGCACAAGGATCGTTCAGAATAGTGAAAAAAGTTCAGAGTAATCAACATATCTGCACTGACGGATAGGCAGCCAGTTCAGCTGAGTACGAAAAGGTGATACATGGTCATATTTACAAATACCATAAATGTATCTGAAGCAGTTATTGAGGAGACGATCCAATATGTTAAGATGCTGTTGAGATAAGTCTGTGCAACACACATCTACTTAATCTATTATCGGCGGAAATAGATATGTAGAGGTGTGTATGTAATTTTATGTTATATTATGTAAATAATATACTATAAATTTCACAAGGACTAATATCCAGACCCAGGACAATAATTATAATTTGTAGGACACACTAATACTTGTTCCGTGCGGGATTCGAACCCGCGGCCCTTAGCGCTGCAACTCATTGCTAAGACACTGCGCCACGGAGCCGTCATATTTCTGTTCGTCATTTCACGGAGACTTCATCACTTGCTCGTTTCACGTACCTCGTAGTCGCGCTCGTGTTGTTCTGCGAACTGCTTGAAGTTGTCGACAATGACGCCCGCGTTAGAGCAGTCGTACACGTACAGCGAGGGCGCACCCATCCACGTTTGCAGGTCGTACATCGACAGCGGGATGTACTGTGTGTATGCCTGCGGGCAATCATTAGGTTACAAACACAATCTCACTACCACTGAACCAAGTGGACAGTAATAACGATATATATTGGTACACATAGCAGTTTAATAAATAAAAATACAAATAATCTTGATTCACTGTTTGCAACTAATACATACATCCAACAGTATAATACATAGGCTGCACTAAAAGTATCGGGAATGGAATATTTCCACTGTTCCTGTCATATTAAAATCTTTTATTTATTTAAAAAAAGATTTTCGGTCTTGTCACAAGGTTTTGTCAAACTTGTTTAGTCGTTGAGAAAATGGAATTGACTCGAGAAAATTCAAGAGCGATGATTTATTATGACTTTCGAAGTGGTTTAACACAAAAACAGTGTGTTGACCGGATGATTTTTGCATTTGGTGATGAAGCCCGATCCAAAACCACAATTTATCGCTGGTTTGCTGAATTTCAACGTGGACGTGTCAAGCTCAGTGATGATCGCCGTCAAGGTCGTCCAAAAACTGCAGTCACCCAAGAAAACGTTGATGCTGTGCGTAAGCTGATTGAGGAAGATCGACATGTGACATACCGCGCAATTCAGGCAACTTTAGACATTGGCATGAGTCAAATACAAATAATCTTGCATGAACAATTAGATGTAAAAAAGTTGTTTTCCCGATGGATACCGCATTCGCTCTGTGAAAAGCAAAAAGCGACTCGCGTTACTTGGTGCGTCAGAACTCTCGAAAGATTTCACGCAGGATCCTCAAATGCTGTATACAACATCGTATCAGGTGACGAATCCTGGATATACGCGTACGAACCCGAAACAAAAAACCAGTCACGAGTTTGGGTGTTCGAAAATGAGTTAAAGCCAACAAAAGTTGTTCGTTCACGGAGTGTTGTAAAAAAAATGGTGACCACGTTTGTCTCCAAAACCGGCCATGTTACGACTATTCCTCTTGAGGGACAAAGAACGGTTAATGCAGATTGGTATGCTAGCATTTGTTTGCCACAGGTCGTTTCTGAACTCCGTAAAGAGAACTGCAACCGCAGCATCATCCTCCATCACGACAATGCGAGTTCTCACATCGCACACAGAACAAAAGAGTTTTTAGAGCAAGAAAACAGAGTTATTAGACCATCCGCCGTACAGCCCCGACCTAAGCCCTAATGATTTCTATACTTTCCCTAAAATAAAGAATAAATTGCGTGGACAGAGATTTTCATCACCTGAAGAAGCTGTGGACGCCTACAAAACGGCCATTTTGGAGACCCCAACTTCCGAATGGAATGGTTGCTTCAATGATTGGTTCCATCGTATGGAAAAATGTGTCAAATTTCGCGGAGAATACTTCGAAAAGCAATAAATACATTTTTAAATAGTAATGTTGTGTCACTTCCTTGGTTCCCGAAATTTTCAGTGCCGCCCTCGTATATTCAATTGATTTTAAAATTACTATCTATTTTAGACGATAATAATATTAAAAGTTAAGTTAAAGTTACAGCCTATATACGTCCCACTGCTGGGCACAGGCCTCCTCTCATTTCTGTGAAGGTTTTAGGGCAAGGAAATGTCCGCCACGCTGCCCTAATGCGTGTTGGCGAACTTCACATGTCTTCGAAATATATTTTTTCAATTTGTAATATAATTCTAAGTGTTATTTTATATATAAGAGGGGGCAAACGAGCACGCGGCTCACCTGATGGTAAGTGACTACCACCGCCCATGTACAACTCGCCAAAACTGACATTAAAATGTACAACATAGGGGAATATCAAAGTATACTCTCTGAACCACTGTCAGATGTTGCTCAAATGGTTTATCATTTATTAAGTATTCCTCCCTTAAATAAAAAAGAATAAAAAAAAAACTGCAACACCAGGGGAATTGTAGATATGTTGCAAATATACAGAGAAATATGCCTACACATTGTACCCATAGATTTATAAAGCTATAAGACAATATATTTGCAATTTTTACTCACCCTGTTGAAGACCCATATTTCTCCTTGCAAGGTGGGCTTTGGCACACCATGTCCATTGTAATGGAAGAGTACACGCTCATCCTTTGCGTTACGGCGTAAGGAACAGCACAGCTTCTTAATCTGAAACATGATCATCCCTTAGACATTTTGACAAACGCGTGGCTACTGGCTAGTGGTTAGGTGGTAAAAAACCACCCCAAAATTCAGAATGTCATTGTGTCTTCTAATAGTACATCGCCTATTGTATATTATTATCCTCCATTGCTAACCATACTCCTAAATATAGTGTTGTATTATGTGTTTTGCCCTCTCACACAATGTATCAATATGACTAATTTTTTTTACTTATTATAAGCCAGTGCTACTACAATCCCACCTGGTGTTAAGTGGTGATGCAGCCTTAGATGGTAAATCGCACTGTCTTATCGTAACAAAAGCCTATTCACTCTTGCCTTGAAGACGCCCAGATTGTATTCGGACGGAAAGATAGACGCCGGCAAATTATTCCACTCCTTTGCTGTACGCATTACAAAAGACGAAGCAAACAAACCTTTTGGTTCTAATGCGTGGAATATCGACAACAAAGGGATGATGACCCGCCGACCGTCTGGTTGTCCTATGGTGGAAAGGAGAGGAAGGAATTAAAGCTTGTAATTCCTGCGCACACTCACCTAAATGCATCCTATAGAATACATAGAGACTAGCTGTGCTCGAGGCTGACAAGATTGGTTTCAACCAAATCAAGGTCACCAATGAGCCTCTTAGCACTTCTCTCCACTGAGTCCAATGCTGCCAGGTGGCATTTTGCAGCACCAGCCCATATGTGACAGCAGTACTCTATGCACGACCGGACTTGCGTAAAGTACCACCGCACCCTTGCAAGGACACTAAGTTTCCTTGCGTCTGCTTTGGCTCTGGACTCAATGAACCGCCCATAGTTTAGGTTCGGAGTAATTTATAAAAAAAAACCTAAGGAAATAAAAATAGTCCAAAATACAAAATAATTAAAAACCAAATTAATAAGAATTACGTATTAATATTATTAATTTGAATTAGCATAAAAATATCTCAAAAACATAAAAAATAAAAAGTAAAACTGTACTCTATTACTATGAAAAATAAAGGAACAGAGCCTTTTTTTGTATCTGTTAAATGTCATTTCAAATTTTGTAAATTGAAAAAAAAAATATGATTTGAAATTTGTATAAATTTAATCCAATATATTCAACATATTCAAAATTAATTGAAGACTATTAGTAAGTCTGTAGAGCCTATATACATCCCACTCTTGGGCAGATGCCTCTTCTCATTTCTGATAAGGCTTTAAAGGTCAAAGTCGAAGGTCAAGGAAGTATTCACCTCGCTGCCTCACTGTGTCTGCGAACTTCACATGTTCTTTCAAATACTTTTTTTAAAATTTCTTCAACATGCAGGTTTCCTTACTATGTTTTTCTTTAATACCGAGCATCACAGTACATTAGTCACAGCAGTTCACAGAAATTGTTAGCTGTTGTATTAGAGAATCCATTGCATCTCTTATTTAGTCCGGTGGGTATAGTAGGAGGCAACAACTGGAAATCCTAGAATAATAAGCTACCGATAGATGGCAGTGCGACGTCTGATATAGCAAGTGCACCAATTCACCTGCCAAGAATGGCAATTGTAGTAAATCCTTACTAAAACGGTAGGTTCGTGCCCAGCAGTGGGCGGGCTGATGATGAAGAAGATAAAGCAAAAATGTATGGAAGTTAGCAAAAATATATAGAATAAGGGTGACAAGCGAGCTCACAGTCCACATGATGGAAGTGGATTTAGTGGCCCATAGACATTTACATCTATAACACGCGTCACGTAAAAAGAACGCTGGAAGAAAGTGGTGGGAGTGTGTTTGCGCATGGGTACAGTCTCGCACGAAAGTTATGTGCCTATTAATTTATTTTTTAACTAGGCTTTCGCTCGCGGGTCGTGGCTTCGTACCTATATATTTGTTATTCTTATTAGTTATAACATTGAAAAATATATTAGATAAAATATCAATAAAATGAATTAAAAACATGTTTGAATTATGTATTATAGAATGTTTAATCGAAATAAAATTAAAGTAATGTTGAAACTCCTTCCATTAAGTCATCATGCGTGACGTGAAAACCAGATGAGGACGCGGTGTTGGTGCTAGAAGTGGCCATTTCATCGTCGTCGCTGTCGTCACTCGAGCTTCCATCCTCATCTGAGTCGGAATCATGATCCCCTATGTGGATAGCAAATGTTTCTGTCATCATGTCCACCACATGATCGCTTTTACAGTAATCAGCCTCTATTTATTTTACCTTCGTGCATAGCTTCCCCCATTCTGTTGCTCCCATTAAATTTATTTTTTCATGAATCAACTCAGTTATACGTGTCAGGTTCCAAGTTACATTTTTACAGGCAACACAACTTTTTATTTGGGACCAGGCCATTTCAATAGGATTCAGGTCCGGGTGATATGGGGGCAAAGGAAGTACAGAATTTCCTGCTTCGTTCAAAATAGCATCGATATTAAATTTCTTAAATTTATCTTTGCATTTTTTATTAAGTTGTACAACTCCGGCTTTAGCATGGTCTCTTCAAATTCAATACCTTTTTGACGAAGCCAGGTTTGCATGTCTGCTTTCTTTGAATTGGACGTTGGTGCAGCATCGAGTTGTTTATTGTGGTACGATGCATTATAGACTACCACGACTGAATTAGGCGGTAAATTTGGTATCAGTTGAGTACGGAGCCACCGCTCGTAATTTTCAGAATTCATATTGTCATGGTAGTCGCCGCTTTTTGTACCGGCTTTAAACGTCAGTAAAGCATTCGGCACAAAACCTGCATCGCCACCCGCATGCACTATGACTAAGCGGCTACCTTTAGATACAGGTTTTTAATGCCCTTGGTGGAACCGTCTGTCCAAGCATGGTGAGACGCATGGGAACTATCGACGTATGATTCGTCAGTGTAAATGATAGGTCTTACTTCCTCTCTATATTTTTTAATCTTTCTCAGATATTCAATTCTTTGAAATCGAATTTGTGACTGCTCAATTAAGATTTTTCTATTGGTTTCCGTTTTTTTCCATTTAAAACCCAAGTTTTTCAATACTCGCCTGAGACTTGCTGCAGATCCTTGGAAATGTATGTCATCCTGTAACTTCCTTTGCAACTTGCCTATGGTAGGCAATTCTTTTTCAGTAACGTGAAAATTATGGATCATTCTTTTTATAACACCCTGGTCAAAGCTGTCAATGTCTGTTATTCGTTTTGTTTTTTTTTCTTTTATTTTTGCCGGGAGTTCGGAAAACAGTAAGAAATTCCGAATCTTTTGAACCCTTTACTATTCGTCTCACTGTCGACTCGGAACATTTTGTTGCCTCTGCGGTCCGTTTCATACATTGTTTTAAATTATTAACTACATTATAATCAGCTTCCCTCTTCATAAAACAGTATACGTCATAAATCATTTTTCTCACTTCTCTACGTAAAACCATTTCGTAATTTAAAACTTTTGTGCGCGATGGTATTTTTAAAAGGAACGTAACGTGGATATACGCGGGAAGCAAAGCTCAACTGATGAACCAATAGCGCATCGGTAAACATGCGGCGCGTGGTTCACCCGATAAATCGCCTATGCGCAGCTTGACCGCCAGCGTTCTTTTTACGTGACGCGTACTATATCCTCGATTAAGAATCAAAATGCAGTTACGTTGTTACAGTGTTTTCTTATTTTGTTCACACGAAAAATATGCGCTTAGACGTGGCGTTGCGGAAAACAGCCCGTTTATTTATTCAAATTCAAAATACGTTGTCACCCCTGAGGACTAAGTTATAATGCCTCGTTTACAGTAAAAAAGGTCTCCGATTCTCTACACTCACCATACGAAACAGCAATATACTACTTTTTTTACATTGGAATTCTGTGAGAGCGTGGTCCCCGGTCGAGCCGACACATTCGTGCTGCATCCGTGTAGCTGCAGCGTGGCTCTACCACTTAAAAGCAACAATAGATTTAATAAGGCTGGAGCATTTGAAGGCTCCGTGGCGCAGTGGCTTTGCAATGAGTTGCAACGCTAAGGGCCGCGGGTTCGAATCCCGCATGGAACAAGTATTAGTATAACCTACAAATTATAATTACTGTTCTGGGTCTGGATGTTCATCCTTGTGAAATCTATGTATGTAAACTGCCCCCGCGATACAGAAGATCCTAGTTTTATGTACATTAGTAGTACATTTTTTTAAAGTGTCTGATGATGAGTCAATTTGTTTATCTTTTTACATTTTAGACAGATAGTAGTGTGGGTGCAAACGACACATGAGGGTCAGTATTGAGAACAATAACCGCAAGGCTGCCGCGGCCAAGCCCCGTTGAACTAATTAGACTAATTTGTCTGAATTACCGACGCCACGCCATTCGACATTTTTGCAATTTTTGTGAGCAATTTAATCGTCACATTTTAATTTCACACTACCTCATATTTTCTATTTTCAAAATTTACCTAGTGCCGTGGTAACTCATAGGTAAACGTTCACTGTAAATTTCATATTACGTGAGCAATCCGGGTTCAATCCCTGCTGTTGTAATTTTTTTATTGCAGTTTAAGTGCTGATTAACCACTTGCCACACCACAAAGATAACATCGTGATTTTTACTGTTAACGGAATTTTACATTTATTTTTTGTCCGAGGTTCGATGTAGATGTCTATGGGCTACAGCATCTACTTAACATCAGGTGAACTGTGTGCTCGTTTATTACCCTTATTATATATAATAAAAACTGGTCAAGTGCGTGTCGGGCCACGCACAATACGCTTCCTTGATAATGAGCATAATAAGTGAGTTTGCAGTTTGACCGCTAGAACCACTAAAAATGGACCCACATAGGAAGATCGTAAGTGAAGCTGTGATAGTTTTTCTTTTAACTTCATTATATATACTACTATTATGTATACTTTGACATTTCCATAAAAATAGGTTTAGTAGGTAGAGGAGATGTGTCCCACATGACTCTAATGAAAAATACCACTTTAAAGCTAAATATTTCGCAAATGGACCCCTGAATCGAAAAGATGTTGTTCCACAAGCCCGATGTTATTGAAAAACCTATCCAATGATACCCGACATGATGGAATAGACAAGTAAAAAAAATCATCCCCCATTTACTTGTATGGGAAGTACCTGAAATAAAAATATTTTTTAAGATTTTAATACACAGTTTCTATGCCAAATTACAGATTTGTAGCACCTAGACTCTCTGAGCAAAACCGCGGACGAACGGGCGGATGGACGGACATGGCGAAACTATAAGGGTTCCTTGTTATACGTGGTAGAGCCTTGCTGCAGCTATATTAATAGTATAGTTGTAGCACGAATGGGTCGGCTCGACCGGGGAAGGACCACGCAGCGTAAAATAGCAGCTTAATGGTGCTGTGTTTCGTATAGTGAGTGTAGAGAACCGGAGACCCTTTTTACTGGAAAAGAGGCATTCTACCTTAGTAATCACGGCTGACAACGCATCTGCATTTGAATTCGCAAATCAAGATAGCTGTAGATGTCTATGAGCCACAGCAACCACTTATCATCAGGTGGACTGTGTGCTCGTTTGTCATCCTTATTCTATAAAAAAAAACTACGGAACCCTAAGCAGCCTATTAACCCTTTCCCTCCTTACGGTACTTAGAAGTACCTCCACATGTTTCGTCTAATAACTTAAGTACGAAATCACTTTATGCTAACTACAACTGATGATCCTTTAAAGTACCGTTTCCGTAAGCCAATCACAGCGCGTTATTTGAATTACCGCGTGACGTTTCCGAAAAATTTTAACAGCGAGTTACAACCGGTCGGACATTTTATCACTCTCCTGTGCGGTGTAATTGAAAAAGTTTTATAAATAGAATATCATAGGTAAGTGCTATTTTTTTTACTAATTACGTTGTTTATATCACGGACTACATTTGTAAAAGCTGTTATAAGTTATTATCACTTTATTTTATATGAATATTTGATAAAAACTGATGTGGACTTAAAAGTACCGTCAGGCGATTTTAGTCTAAAAATTATAAGCTTTTATATAATACACATACTCGATCAAGTGGGTATTTTGTCATAAATATATAATGTTTTTATCATTATATAAATGTTTTTTTTTTATTTTATAATTGTTCTGAGCTATTTTTTTATTGTTTTAGCCATTGAGATGGATATTTCAAAAAATACTGCTCTAATAGAAGCCCTGTTATTAGAAGAGATTCCGGACTGTGACGAAGAGTCCGAAGCAGGTGTGTTCGATGATGAAGTGGAAAATATTCAACAACCTTCACCAAGAGGCTTCGATGAGGTTTTTGGAAGAGCTCTAGAAAATATTTTAGCAGAAGATCCGCCATCGTCGCCTTCAAAAGAAGATGAATTGGAGTGCCCTATAAATCAAGTACCAACATCTCCAATACCTGGATCTAGTGTTCAGATTGATCTACCGTCTGCAAATGCGTCTTCACACAAAAGTAATCAGCGATTACCCGAACCAAACCGTAAATGGAAAAAGAGGGACCTAGATACAATTTTACAGGAATACGTTCTAGATACTGGAGTAGTAGAAGACTGTTTTGCTCACTGTAGCACCCCAACTGATATATTTTTAGTATTAATTGGAGATATTGTTGATAATATTGTGTACCAAAGTAACCTTTATGCTACTCAGAGGGGCAAAGTATTGAACCTAAAAAAGGAGGAACTTCTAACATTTATAGGCATGAATTTTTTTATGGGTTACAATACTCGTCCGGCGTGGAGAGACCATTACTCTTCGGCACCTGATCTCAACAATGCACTTATTTGCAAAACAATGCCAAGAGACAGATTTGCTATTATTTTATCTCATCTGCATTGCAATGATAACTCACAAATGCCTAAAGATTGCAAAGATTAGTTATATAAAATTAGACCGATGATTGATGCACTCAATAAAAAATTTCAAGAGGTTTATCATGGTACTCGCGAACTGAGTGTAGATGAATCTATGATCAAATTTAAAGGTAGGTCTGTCTTGAAACAATATCTACCTATGAAGCCCATAAAAAGGGGATATAAGTTGTGGTGTCTTGCTGACCAGAGAGGCTATATAAAGAAGTTTCAAATTTACCAAGGAAAAGACGAAGAACTGAACTCAAAATTTACCGGCTATGGCTTAGGAGAGAAAGTTGTTTTGGAGTTGACGGAACAAGATTGGGGTACAGGAAAGATAGTTTACTTTGATAATTTTTTCTCGTCTGTTGCTTTGCTTGAGAAACTGAAAACTAAAAACACCTACGCATGTGGAACTATCTGAACTAATAGAAAAGGACTGCCCGGAAATATGCTCGCTGATTCTCAAATGAAAAGGGGAATTGGATATTGGAAATGGAAGGATAACAAAGTGGTTCATTTAGTATCTAATTTTCATGGGAATGAAACGGCTACTGTGTCACGTAAAGAAAAAAATGTGTCCAAGTCTACCATTACATGCCCTGTAGCTGTCAAAAATTACAATAGCTATATGGGCGGCGTAGATACAGCTGATCGTTTGAGAGCCCTTTACTGTATAGATCGCAAATCTCCGAAATGGTGGCACAGGTTGTTTTGGGGTCTTCTGAACATCGCATTTGTCAATTCATATGTCATTCATGGACTTATAATGGAACAGACTACCGTAAAAGTTTTTCGACGCTCTGTTACTCAAGGCTTGATGACAATGAAAGATGTTAGTCAGAAAAGAAAGACTTCTACAACTAATACTTCGGAAGGTGGCCCTTCCAAAAGACGCAAATCTGACTACTCCACTATAAAAGACGTTCGCTTGGGTAATAGAGGCATCCATTGGCCTTTGTTTGTAGAAAATAGGGGAAGGTGTGAGGTTTGTAGTATGAAAAAGTTTCAGTCAAAACCTCATAGTAAATGTTCCCATTGCAACGTGTTTTTGTGTGTAAATGAAAAGAAAAATTGTTTTGCTGAATACCACGAGGTTAATTTGTAATTATAACCTATCTTTTTAATTATTACCAAGTCAATATTGGGTCTCATTATTTTTGTAGTTTCTGTCAAAGTTCCTAACATTGTAATGACACAAAGTTCCTGACGGTACTTTTAAGTCTAGGTCTTAGAAATAGTACTTCTAGGTACAATAAAAATCTGAATATAATCTGAGCGTTTCCTTTTACCTACCTTATTATGATAATGAAGCTAAAAAGCGGAAATTCGTTAAAAATCACTACCCCGGGTGGAAAGGGTTAAAAGTAAGCTTAGATTGTATGTTTTGTTGGTATGTACGAACTATTGACAAAATTCATACCCTGTTTGCACTTTTAGACTTTTTAATTTTGGACTGTGTACTCGTTTGTCACACTTATTCTATAACTAATATTAAAATTTAAGAAATTTTAAAAACATGCATTGTACATGAGTAGTGATGATTCTAGAGAGAGTTATGCTGGTGATCCTGCTCAGGTTACTAAGATAAAGTTGTTAAATTACTGTATTGTCATGGGTCCTTGCAAATTTTCAAGTCTTCAAATCTACAAGTTGGTGAAAATTACATTAAGATTCCGTTACATAGATAGATACACGCGAAGCTAATGAAAGTGTGTTAAAAGAAACATACCTCATCGCTAGTGGGGTCGAGCGACTGCTTGTATCGTGCTCGAGGCTGCCATCGCTCATACTGAGTCTGTAGCGCGTGGCCGATGCTTTCCAACGCCTTGCTCGGAGACAACGAGTTCGGATCTGCAACACAATGTACATTACCTAACTGTCTTGGGATTAAAACACAAAATTCCTAGAAAGTCAGAAGAGTTTACATTATTATCTTGCATTACATTCGTTACCATTACGCCTATCAAAGTCCACTACTGAACATAGGTCTAAATTGATGATATGGGGTAGTGGACGTTCTTACATGGCCACTATATGGTAATGCAACACATGTATAACATTAAATACTTCCCCTAAATTAGTTGTCTGATCAAACTTATTAATTGTCTCGCAAAAATATATTACAAAAAAGTGGTTTATACGTAATCTAAGATTAAAACTAGAATATGTACCACATAATATGACGTCCCAAGGATATATGCGAACTAAAATGTAGTCATTACAAATGCCAATTTTTGCGAAAACAGGGGCACCGAGGCTAATGGACTTCTTTATTTACAAGAACTATTCTTAAACCATAGTTTAAGCTTGAGACTATCAAATAAACAACTTTTTGTAATAAGATGTATTATAATTTTAAGTCAATAGACACCAAGTGTTCTGTCTCTAAACGAGTCATCATCAGGTGAAATGGACTCTGCAGTGGCTGACCGAAATTGAGGGAGGCAGAGACACATCATTTTATTTTTTTTACACAGATCTAAGCTAATTAATTTTAGCATATCTTTAATAACCATCAATCAATCATATACAGAAGATGAAGCAATAACTTACCAATCCAGCATTCCAGTCTTGCACAAGGCTGAGTTTTCACCACGTCCGGAGGATCAACACCCACATTGAGGCACAGGACCAATGCAACGCAATGTGTCTTGTACTGAACAATCAAAACAATACAAAGTTGGTACACAATGTTTATTGATATAGTTTGAGTTGATAATAACCCCTAGGCATGAGGTGGTCGCTTCCAAACTGTTTCTAAAATAAATTTCGTAAATAGTTTGTACGACCATTCATGTAAAATTTACTTAAAAAAAGTCCCGTTGGGTTTCTTGTCAGTTCTTCCCAGGGCAGAGGTTTTTTTCTGGACCAGAAATAAAGTAAAAAATTACTTTCAATAAGAATTACATATGTGATCTATATTGAATAAAAAAATATTCTATTCTATTTTATTATACCATTCATTAATTCTTATAGCCTATCAAAAATCCTCCAGACAGTATATTTGCCATAAATGGCATGCTTGCCAGACAGTGTGGTAACTGCAGTTTTTTAATTATTTTTAATTGTTATTAGAAAGATGCTCCTGGCCCATCTACTGTTTCATTTTCCCTCTGTCCTCTCATATGACATTTTATCGGTGATAGAGCCACGCAGCAGCTTTTGCTGTTGCACGTATGGGCCGGCTCGAGCCGGGTTAGTACCACGACCTCACAGAATACCGGCGTGAAGTGGAAGCTCTGCTTCCGCGTTTCGTCTGGTGAGTACAGGTGATCGGAGGCCCAATTCCCCCCCCCCCCTCAACATGGTAGCGGAATTACATCATAAACTACCCCAGGAGGATACCAGTACCCCTGGAGAATCCCTCGCTGAGCATCCACGACCATGCTATTCCACTCCTGAGCGTGCTCAGGGTGCTCAGGCTGCCCCGCGTATTCTAGGGCAAAATTCCGCTCAACACAAGACTGAGCAACAAGACCAAGGCAACCCCTGCCACACTATCCGTGAATTTCTGCAACATCAGGGGACTTCACTCGAACCTAAACGCCGTCCACTACCATCTCGAGACGGCGAAGCCGGCCTTGCTCTTTCTGACCGAGACGCAGGTGTCCTCTCCGGCTGATACTTCGTATCTCTCCTGCCCGGGGTGCAAATTGAAGCACTCCTTTGTGCCTCGGACTGGAGTTTGCGTGTATGTCAGAGAGGACATCTGTTCTCGACACCTCGGCAGTCTTGAAGGTTCGGACCTGTCCATCCTTTGGCTACGCCTAGACAGCGACGACCATCCGCGCGTCTACGTGTGCCTCTATAGGTCCCATAGCGGTAATGCCGAAACAGACCGACTCATCGACCACGTCCAAATGGCTACAGATTCCTTGCTACAACAGGTCCCATCCGCAGAGATCGTGATCCTTGGCGATTTTAACGCCCACCACGCCGAATGGCTCGGTTCACGTTTAACCGATCATGCGGGGAGATCTGTTTATGACTTTGCCTTGGCATATGGTCTGACACAACTGGTTACATCGCCTACGCGGATTCCAGATGTTGAGGATCATACACCTTCCCTGTTGGACCTTCTGCTGACCTCTCATCCGGACGGATATCAGGTTTCCGTCGATGCCGCTCTTGGCTCTTCGGATCATTGTCTGATCCGGAGAGAGATTTTCAGTAACTTTTTTCTCAAAAATTACGCGTTTCTGCATGTTGTAACTGTGTGTGTGCTTATAATAGTGTAACTTTTCTGTAAAAATACATATCAACCCCCAACTCGACGGGCGTCAATGGAAAGTCGTACCGAAATTTGGTCTGGAGGACATTATTATTTTAATAAAATCTATAATGTGCTCATCCAACCAGCTGGCAAGAAATCTAAGAGAAATCCAATCCTGACAAAACTATTGTTCCATGTGCATGCTCATTATGCAATAAGTTTACGGAACAAAGTAGTAGAATCCAGCATTTTCATCCAATTACAATGTGAATGTGTTCAAGTCACTAGTGAATAAATTGAAAAGCTAAGTTAGAGCACTTTACCATCGGTGAAATAGTAGTTGTAATGTTCCCTATTATGTTCACTAATTCCTTCACTAGGCTCGCCCACACACACACATACGCATTGTTCTCCTACAGTCACCCCACAATAACTGACTAATCATCATTATACACCTAGTTAATGGTAGTCAGCCCCCTCCACTACACCACAGGCTTTCCCTTGTACTACACTGCACGCCATATGTGCCCGAGACAAGTATGGAACTTCTGATACATGCTTGTATACATATCATCCACGAGCACTGGTTTATAATACTAATTACAAGAGGCAGGAAACAAATGTATTTTTTATATTTTAAGTATTATGACCCAATGTAATGATGTATAAACAGCAAATCGGAAACCAAATTTTACAATTGAATGTCCAGTACAAAGGTATATCAGTGTAAATCTTTAATTTTAAAATAATAAAACTGAATAACATATATACCTAATTAGGTAATAAAATTAACATAACAAACAATCAACTAAATTATGATAAGGTCCAAATAATTTATTAACTAAAATTAAAAATTTTCAAAACCCCCAAAACAAATGGAGCTGATGATCTTTATAAATTTTTTTTGAAACATAGATAAGAACACTCTCGATTAAGGCACCTTTCAAACAAAAAAAACTCAATCAAAATAAGTTCGTCCATTCAGGAGCTACAGACGGACATGCAAATACACATATACACAAATACGTATACACACACTAAAAACATATAACACTCCTCTGTTTTCATCGTGGGTTAAAAATAATATAATGTTCATAGCCTTGACCTACTATTGCAGATATTACTTAATATGCTTTTGTATATTTGACAAATTTAAAAAAAGTCTTAGTTATTTTAATTATTATTTGGACTTTATCCAACCCACTGTGTGAACCTAGGTTTACTTCTTCTCTGACATTACCCAAAACATAACCATTAGTTTTTGTAGAATTCTCTCAACCTTATGTAAATAGGTATACATCCAATTATTATTAGTAAAAATGCTATGTTTTGGTTTAATATTTTAAAATAACAAGAGAACTATGAACTGGGCATAAATCTGAAGTCTAATATAAAATAAACACAATATCTTAACCAGTAAACCTTATAAGAAATTGGAAAACATTCTAATACATTCATTTCATTATTAATAATCTTTGCAAGTCTTTGATTATGTACTTTAATTTAAAAATAATAGACAAAGTACACTATCATGTTCCTGTTAAACTTTATAGTTTTAATAAAATTTAAGTTCATGAATTAGTCATTTTGTGTTATTACTCTTAAAGTAAAATTTCACAGAATTATGAATTTTAAGTGATTAACGTATCTATATTATCGTTTACAATACAAAATTATGTATTATATACCTACCATCGCATGTGCGTTTGTTTTTAATATAACGTGTCGTTCAGCAATTTATACGCAATTGCGTGGTACGAACTTTTAACGTAGAAAAATTAAGACATTACCTTTTCCTTCACTCTCCATGAGTGGTCCTGGCGTTCAGCGCCTTTTATGGGTTCAATATGTCTTGGTTTATTAAAACTTAAAGGTAAATCGTCCTCAGAGTCCGAACACTCGCTATCTGTCTGCCCACTATTTTTCTCCTCATCTTTAACAGCGAGATAAGGAGGCATTTCTGTCATTGTCACTCGACACTTGTACACAAATTACTTCTGTTTTCAATGTTTAACGCACATTAATACGTAAAAAAAACATTTTTAAAACCTCACAGCATCATGTGCGCGTCCATTTTTTAACACCACATGGGAATAAACAATAAAGAATTGTCTCTTTCTACGCATAGGCTTTTTGCGGTCAATCTAAAAACGTTTTGCAATTCTCATTTTTACTTATAAAGTAACTGACGTATTATTTGAAGATATATCATAATACATAAATAAATTGTTTAATGTATTACATCAAATAGATAAATAATAACAATCAAAATAAATTTCAAATGTATTAAGTAAATAAGAAATCATAGACTTGAAACGAAACGTTTGCATTCGTTTTGTTTCACAGACTCATGGACGCAACGTCCATGCACAGACTTCATAATGTTTGCGGTTTACGCATTTTTTTGCATCATTACCTACTCATTATAGTAATTATTACAGGATCCAAAAATTAGAGTTGGTTAGAGTTGGTTTCCCCCTTGATTGAGATCCTTGATTCCAAGAGTACAAAGTAGTAAGATGCGTAAGCATCATATTAGTCTGTGGTAATATGTATGAAGACTGAGGGGGTATTATAAGCATATCAGATCAAGTAAATAATACAGACATACTTGCAGAATGTAATATACCATAGAGTGTTTTGCCGCTCAATGCTAACTGCATAAAATGTAGACAGAGAAAACTATAGACTCCTGATTGGCGTGGGGCCACATGAGATAGATTTTAACGGTGGTAGAGCCACGCAGCAGTTTTTGCTGTTGCATGTATGGGCCGGCTCGAGCCGGGTTGGTACCACGACCTAACAGAATACCGGCGTGAAGTAGAGGCTCTGCTTCTGCGTTTCGTCTGGTGAGTGCAGGTGGCCGGAGGCCCATCCCCCCCCCCCCCCCACCCATCAACATGGTAGCGGAATTACACGTTAGACTACCCCAGGAGGGTACCAGTACCCCTGGAGAATCCCTCGTTATTCCAATCCTGAGCGTGGGTGCTCAGGCTGCCCCACGTATTCTGGGATGGGGGGGGGACAAATTCCGCTTAAAACCATAACTGCTCGGGGCAAACTGAGCAACAATACCAAGGCGATCCCTGCCACGCTATCCGTGAATTTCAGCAACATCCGGGGACTTCACTCTAACCTAAACGCCGTCCACTACCATCTCGAGACGGCGACGCCGGCCTTACTCTTTCTGACCGAGACGCAGGTTTCCTCTCCGGCTGATATTTCGTATCTCTCCTACCCGGGGTACAAATTGGAGCACTCCTGTGTGCCTCGGGCTGGAGTTTGCGTGTATGTCAGAGAGGACATCTGTTCTCGACGTCTCGGCAGTCTTGAAGGTTCGGACCTGTCCATCCTTTGGCTACGCGTAGACAGCGACGACCATCCGCGCGTCTACGGGTGCCTCTATAGGTCCCATAGTGGTAATGCCGAAACAGACCGACTCACCGACCACGTCCAAATGGCTACAGATTCCTTGCTACAACAGGTCCCATCCGCAGAGATCATGATCCTTGGCGATTTTAACGCCCACCACGCCGAATGGCTCGGTTCACGTTTAACCGATCATGCGGGGAGATCTGTTTATGACTTTGCCTTGGCATATGGTCTGACACTAATGGTTACTTCGCCTACGCGGATTCCAAATGTGGAGGATCATACACCTTCCCTGTTGACCTCTCATCCGGACGGATGTCAGGTTTCCGTCGATGCCCCTCTCGGCTCTTCGGACCATTGTCTGATCCGGAGTGTGGTGCCACTCACGCTCCCTTCGCGGTTGCGTTCTGCAGGTTGACGCCGTGTTTGGCATTACAGGTCGGCGGATTGGGACGGAATGCGGTCTTTCTTTGCTTCCTACCCATGGGGGCGGGTTTGCTTCTCGCCGGATGATCCCAGCGCTGTTGCTGACTCTGTCACTGATGTGGTGCTACAGGGAATGGAACTATTTATTCCATCATCTGTGGTACCCATCGGAGGCAGATCTCAGCCTTGTTTTGGTCGCTCCTGTAAGACTGCATTACGCAGTAAGCAGGAGTGTTATCAAGCCTGGGCTGCGGCTTCGGCGACTCAGGATGTAAACACCAGCACACTTAAAAAGAAGTATAACTTCGCCTCCAGGTCCTTCAAAAGAGCTATTGCCAAGGCAAAGTCAGAGCACATAGGCAGAATTGGCGAGAGACTTCCTTCGGGAACCCGTGCATTCTGGTCTCTCGCCAAGGCTGTCCAAGGGAATTTCTTTAAGCCATCACTACCATCTCTGCACAGGGAGGACGACTCACTGGCCCAAGACGCAAAAGACAAAGCTGAACTTTTAGGCTCCCTTTTTGCGTCCAACTCGACTCTTGATGACGGGGGGAAAACACCGCCGACCATCCCGCGGTGTGAGTGCTCCATGCCGGATGTGCTGTTCTCACAGCGCTCGGTTCGCAAAGCACTTCTCTCCCTGGACATCCAGAAGTCGAGTGGGCATGACGGAATCCCCCCAATTGTGCTGAGGACGTGTGCTCCGGAGTTGGCACCGGTCCTAACGCGTCTTTTCCGGTACTCCTACTCCCAAGGCGTAGTCCCGAATTCATGGAAGACAGCTTTTGTCCACCCGATCCCTAAAAAAGGCGATCGCTCAGACCCGTCATACTATAGGCCTATCGCGATCACCTCCTTGTTCTCCAAAATAATGGAATCCATTATTAACTGCCAGCTCATCCGGTACCTTGAGGATCACCAGCTGATTAGTGACCGCCAATACGGTTTTCGACGGGGTCGATCAGCTGGTGATCTTCTGGTCTAACTCACCCATAGATGGGCGGAGGCAGTAGAGTCCAGGGGGGAGGCGTTGGCCGTTAGTCTGGACATTGCGAAGGCCTTCGATCGGGTTTGGCACAAAGCGCTTCTTTCGAAGCTCCCTTCCTATGGGCTTCCCGAGAAATTGTGCAATTGGATCACCAGCTTCCTTGCAGATCGGAGCATCAAGGTCGTTGTAGACGGTGCATGTTCTGACTACAAGCCTATTAACGCTGGTGTTCCACAAGGCTGTGTGCTATCACCAACGCTGTTTCTTCTGCATATCAATGATATGTTGCTAACTGGTAACATTCATTGCTATGCGGATGACAGCACTGGTGATGCTCTATACACCGGCCGTGCCAATATTTCTCCGGAAAACGTCGCCGAGTACCGGAACAAACTTGTGTCTGAAGTCGAGTCTTTGCTGAACAAAGTCTCGGATTGGGGGCGACTAAATCTAGTCCAGTTTAATCCTCAGAAAACACAAGTTTGCGCGTATACCGCTAAAAAGAACCCCTTTGTCGTATCTCCTCAGTTTCAAGGCACTCCCCTTCTTGCCTCAGCCAGTATCGGTATCCTCGGAGTCGACATATCGAGTGACGTGCAGTTTCGTGGTCACTTGGAAGAGAAGGCCAAATTGGCCTCTAAAAAGCTTGGCGTGCTCAGCAGAACGGGACAGTATTTCATGCCGGCACACCGCCTGCAACTTTATAACGCGCAAGTTCGGCCTGACATGGAATACTGTTCCCATCTCTGGGCAGGGGCTCCCCAGTGCCAGCTCCTTCCACTTGACCGCATCCAGCGCAGAGCGGCTCGAATCGTCGACGACCGAGCCCTTTCCGATCGGCTCGATTCATTGGCACTGCGAAGAGATGTTGCATCCCTTTGCATTTTCTTTCGCATCTACCATGGGGAGTGCTCTGAGGAATTGTTCGGATTAATCCCAGCCGCCAAATTTCACGAACGCACATCGCGGCCGAACTCCCGATACCATCCACACCATCTGGATGATTGGCGGTCCACCACTATGCGATTTAGAAGATGTTTTCTTCCTCGCACGACTTTCTTGTGGAATCGAATACCATCAGCGATTTTTTATAAAAACAGATGGGCTCATAAAATAATAGCTAGGTACCTATTAAAATATTGTTTTTTTTTTAATTTTTTAATGACAAGAAACGTTACCCCCACACTAGGATTTTCTCCTGTATCGTGGAGGCAGTTTACAGACATATATTGCATAAGGACAAACATCCAGACCCGGAACAATAATTTGTAGGCCATACAAATACTTGTTCCGTGCGGAATTCGAATCCGCGGCCCCCGGCGCAGCAACTAATTGCTAAGCTACTGCGCCAACCGTGTCAACAAATTATATAAAAATATAATGTACAATATTTTTTATGAAAAATTATATTGTATAATATTATAATTAATTATCTGATATGCATTGTGCCTGCCTAATTTGTAATCTGTTTGTAATGGATCAAAATAAAAAGTTCATTGAAACAATTTTATAATTTCTTTCTATCAAACGCTGGCAGGAAAATCAGGGGATTTGCTATACGAAACTAGCAACACAGAAAATAGGTTATGCAATGTAATTTTTAACATGAACTCCTATAAATCCATATAAATTCTAATGTTTATTGAAAAACCAGTTTAAATAATACATTTTAATTCATACCAGACTAAAATGATACATTTTACGAGCTGAGATAACAAAAAAAGTCTATACTTACGAATGAAATGACAATCCTGGAATTTTTGATTCACCGTCACTTTTACAATCAAGATTATTGCACCGCACCATTGTGAACAATGAGGTTTTGCCTATATATCCTTGATTAACCACTTGAACGTCCAAGCGATGCGGCAACAATACTCTTGAACGTCCCGGCCCCGGTCGTTACGGTATTTGTACGATCGGATTGCGACCAGTTCGACTAAAACGATTACCATGGAGAAAGTTCTTTACCTATATCAGAATAAAAATCACCCACAGAAAGCTAATGAAATGCAAAATTTAATTATGCTAATAATAGTTTACTCAATTGACGTACAACAGGTAAAAAATTGATTAATTTTAGAAATCTAGATGAAAAACCCTAACATTTTTTTTATTTTCTTTGTTAATATCGCAGTATTCGCATTTTATTTATATATACTATTACCATTTATTTATATA